CGAGCGCTTCATGTCCTGTTTTAGAGTCAGTGAGAGCAAATCAGCCCTCAAATTATTCGGAAACCAGCGAGCGCTGAAAAAAGAGGTTCAAAGACAGAAGAGATTTGGGAGGTGGATCATCCATCCTTGCAGTAGTTTCAGGTTTCTCAAATTTTTCGTTCATTCGCTTGCTCGTTCGTACTCTCAGACGTTAAATTGTTTATAACTGGAAAAAATTGAAAACGATCAACAGCTTTGCTAATATTGTAATCATAATTCGTATCATCAAAATCACCAACACCACTCAGATTATATTGGAACATAGGCGAAACATTCCTGCTGATAATAAATTTGATAGTTCTACCCATCTCAATCACGTTCTTCAAAGACGACCTTGGCAGCCACTGGATTGCCTTCAACACCATCTCTGACACATTCTTCCTCGTCGATCTGGCTCTCAATTTCAGGACCGGTGCGTCTCTCCTAACGTTTTTGCTGTTTGATGTTTCATCTTTAGTTTTCTTTTATTTTCAATCTTATTTTACTCGACTTGTGATATTTCAAATCAATGTTCCGTGTTGATTCGAGGACATTTAATGTTGCTTTCATTTTTCAATAGCGTCTTTAATTGTTTTCAAAATTCATTAACTAATAATTTAAATAATTTCTGAGACATATTTTATATTAACTGTCAAAGTAATTTACCAAATATTTATATAAAAAACAAAGGCTTTTTTGAAAAAAACTCCGAAGAGATTGTTTTGGACCCGATCAAGATAGCAAAGAACTATTTAAAAACTTTCTTCGTCATCGATTTTATCAGTTCATTCCCCATTGACTACACAATTCTTATGTTCTCTGCTAGTACAACTGGAATGAGTGCAGGTTGGTTCAATGAATGATGAGTTGATATGCTGGCTGGACGGTTGTTTAGTTGATTGATTGGTTGGTTGGTTGGTTAATTGGTTGAATGACTGGTTGAATGTGAGGTGAAGATATTGTATAAATTAAAAATTGCATGACAAATTAAAAAGTTTCAATTTCAAGCAACAGAGATCAGCGAGTAGTAGTTAATGATAATACAAACTGCAAACAAAAATAAAATGAAAACGGCATATATTTCTTTTTTCATCGAAACATGAACAAACAAGTTTTGTATCGTGTTCGACTGCTGCTATTAAAAGTAAACAAACATGTCGTGCAAACATATATAGACAGATAGAAACAAAAATGTAAGCATACAAACACACGCACACGCACACACACACACACACTTGAAACTAACACACAGCAGACAATTCGAGCACATACACGGATACTCAAACATACAAACACAAATGCATTCGTTCATGCTTACTTATTTGCATTGAGACCTCGAAAGAAATTTCAATGTGGTGTTAAACGAAAAAGTTTAACGTGGGGGCACCATCTGATATTAAAACATAAAAAAGTTATTTCCAAATGCAAATTAAAAATAATTTTAGTGCTCCAACACAAAAGTCACAACAACCTCGTATCAATGCCGCCTATTAACATACATACATACATATTGGCGTGGTCTGCTTTGTTCAGTATCATTGATCATGTTTTGGTTTTAACATACACACACACATACATACATACACACACATACACATACATACACACACACAAATATAATACACATACATAAATACAGATATAGTTTCATGCATTTAACAATTTTTATATTTAAGTTTTAAAATGTTGTAAAAACTGTTCACATATCAGGTACACTTGCAAATAGACAAGTTTGTACATGAATTTATGTTTTTTCAGGGCTACTATTTGGTGTATAAAAATATATATGTATGTATGTATATATGTATATGTGTGTGTATGTATATATGTATATGTGTGTGTATGTATGTATGTATATGTGTGTGTATGTATATGTGTGTGTATGTATATGTGTGTGTATGTATATGTGTGTGTATGTATGTATGTATATGTGTGTGTATGTATGTATGTATATGTGTGTGTATGTATGTATGTATATGTGTGTGTATGTATGTATGTATATGTGTGTGTATATATGTATGTATATGTGTGTGTATGTATGTATGTATATGTGTGTGTATGTATTGTTGTGGTTTTCGTTGTTGCAGGAAGGGCAGTGCGCATGATCAGGCTGATGAAGTTGCTGAGCCTGTTGAGGTTGCTTCGGTTGTCAAGGCTGCTTAGGTATGCTAACCAATGGACTGAGGTCAGTCGTTTTTGTTGTTGATGTTGTTGTTGATGAAGTTTTTGAGATTGTTGATGATGTTTTTG